GGAGAGATTAAAGGACGCACTGGAGACAGAACTCCGACCAGAACAAGCTGGATTCAGGAAAGAGGCAAATCATGTTCCCACTAAATTGCAACTCTACGCATCATCATCGAACAAAGCATGGAATGGTGATCAAACCTCTACCTCAACTTTATAGACTTTGAGAAGGCCTTCGACAGCGTTGACCGTGAAGTAATTTGGAAATTACTCGAGTACTATGGCGTACCCCAAATATTCATCAACCTTATTCAACAGCTGTACGACAACGGCACATGTCAAGTGATCCACAACGGAAAACTCAGCGAGGCGTTTGGAGTAAACACAGGAGTCAGACAAGGGTGCTTACTATCACCAATGATATTCCTAATTGTCGTGGACTGACTGGATTATGCGTCAGACAGTGGGAAACGAGAAGACAGGAGTATCCTGGACCGACGTGAAGAACCTAGAAGACCTGGATTTCGCGCGTGGATGATTTATGTTTGATGTCACAGAAAATCGAAGACTTACAAGCGAAAACCGACAAACTGGTCGAAGAAGCAGCCGGCGAAGACAGGACTCCAGGTAAACATAGACAAGACGGAGGTTATGAAAATAACCAACCAACCAACAACAACAACAAAAACAGCAACATCCAGCGCCAATCACCATCAGCGGGAGGGATTTGAAAGAGGTTACTTCATTCACTTATCTAGGGAGCATTGTCTCAACTACGGGCAGTCGGAACGGACAAGGAGGTTAAATCGAGTGGGAATCGGGAAGGCGAGAAACACATTCATCAACCTGAAACCCATCTGGAAATCTTCGTCAATCAGCATCAACAACAAAATTCGGATTTTCAATACAAAAGTCAAGTCAGTCAGCTCTTCCATATGGATCAGAAAGTTGGTGGGCGAGTCACAAAGAATATTTCCAACAGCCTGTTGCAGACATTTATCAACAACTAACTGTCTTCACTGGCTCTATACTGAAGACCAGATGGCCGGGCCGGAAAGAATCACCAACAAGAAACTATGGGAACAAACAAAACAAGAACCAATCGCTCAACAACAACAAATATGCAGGAGAAAGTGGAGATGGGTTGGACACTCGCTGAGGAGGCCACTGGGTGACATCGCGCGCGCGTCAGGCCATTGCTCGAGTGGAACCAGGCCGAAAGGGAAGCGGCGAGTGGGACGTCAGTGCAAGGGTGACATGGAGGAGATCGTGTGAAGAGGAGTTGAAAGAGTATGGACTAACATGGATGTAGGTGAACCGTACAGCAGAAAACAGAAGTGGCAAGTGGAGACGTGCAGTTGAAGCTCTATGTTCCACTAGGAACCCAAGGGAGCAATAATGATAATAATGCTTGAAAAGATGTTATTTTCGAATTTATTCATGAAAAGGTCGGCGACTACTGGGGAGACTGGTGAACCCATAGCAACACCACTTATCTGTCTAGATAAATTCCACTTAATTGTAAAATAATTACTTTCTAGACAGAGTTTCGAGCTCTTAATTATTTCACTGGTGTCCGGTGGACATTTTTGTGATAGCGTTGTATCTGATTCTAGTAGACTGGAGATGATATCAAGACATTCGGTAATAGGGATACTAGTATATAATGAGTTAATATCATAGCTTGTCACAATCCCTTCTTTATCAATTTCTCGGTGTTCTATTTGGGATTTGAAATCATATGAATCTTTTACAATATTTTGAGTGTCCTTTTGCAGTGGTTTTATTATCGAAAATAAGTATTTTGAGAGGTTGTATGTCAGTGAAATCTACTACTTGTCCTAATGGAACTGTGGGTTTATGTATCTTTGGTTGACCGTAGATTCTTAAAGGTACATACGATTTTGGTTTTAGTTTAAACCAGAGGGAATTTCTAATTTCAGGTTTCATTTCTTGAAGGAGTCTGTCTGTATTTCGTTTCATTTTGTTGAATTCGGTGAATTTCTTCTCCTCTTCAATTAGTAAGTAAGGTCTTTCAGATAGGTGTTCAGTCGCCTTCTTTTCATAATCCGCTCTGTTAGTTATCACAGTGACGTTTCCCTTGTCGGCTTTAGTTATAACGGTGCTTTTGTCTTTCTTTAAATTTCCTAAGGCTTCATATTGTTGTTTGGTGAGCTTAGATGGTATGTTTCGTTGTGTCATCAATATATGTGATATCTTTTGACGTACAGATTGTGATTCTTCATTGGTGAATTATTGTAGAGCAAGTTCGATCATATGTGCTATTTCCCTGACCGATAATAGCTTTCTAGTGATATTGAAATTCAGACCTTTCTATGGTAATGAGATTTCATTTTCTGTTAGTATCTTGTCTGACATGTTATGTATGGATGGCTCTAATATTCTTCATATCATCTGCTGAGATTTTCTTTGATTAGGCTTTTGCTAGGATGTGAACAAACAGACTTTAATTCACATTCAAAAATAATAACAACTAAATACAGCTGTAAAAAGATCTATGGGTGTGGTAGATATATTTTTAAGGGTGGAAATAACTCACTAAATTCACTTTTAAAGTTGAATAGCTATTAGACTAGGACAATACAATTGTTTACTTATTTTTTCATTTACAATTCACGTAAACACAAGTATACCAAACTCATTATTGATTCATATTTGGTTAAGATTATTTAAATCAAGAAATGCATTCTCGTCGTCAACTGTAAATGAGGTTATTCTCTGAATAGCACAGCTGTAACGTCTCTGACTGCAGGCGGCACTGGGTAATGCGGGTTCGAATCTCACAAGGGACATGAGTTCCTTAAAGGTTGGAGATACACCCTGCTGACTGGAGAGTGTCAACTAGCACGAAACCTAGGTGGAAGGCTTCCGGTGGCCGATTGCCTCCAACCATCTAATATTATCAAATTTATTTTTGATTACAGCTTGATTCTACACTGTATTTTTTGTACAAGTATGGAATTTTCAGCACGGATATCGGTAGCCCAAATTTTGCAGGCCAATCATAGATATCAGGTGTGCGTCGACAGGGGACCAAACCTCGAACCATGTGCATGGTCGGCGAGAGTCCTAACCACCGTGATGGCAACCTACCGAGAATGGTGGTGACCACATTGCAAACCTGACTGACAGAATTCAATCTGCACCACAGGAAGAACGAGACACATCACACTAGTTACTAGTGTCCAATCAAAGAAATTTACTTCTACATAAGACAACGAAGGGTGGTTACAAATAGACTCGATACTTCATTGCAGACTTATTGATAATCTGAACTTTATTATATTTAAGAGGCTATGCGACACAGATGAAAACAAGAGCAGTGGTACACATGCATTTATACCTCACTTCCAAATCAACTAAAATCTCACATTTTTCATTGATTTGCCTTTTTAAAGATATTAGATGGTTGGAAGTGATCGACGAGAAACCGTGGAACTGGTACTCCGATAAGTATATCTGAGAACTCGAAAGGGATGATGTCTACCCCAGTCCCACCTACAGACATCCGAACCCGTGTAAACCATTGCATCAATCTGAAATGTTTAGCAGTACTGATTTATTCCAACCGCCTAATGTCAACACAAATTCATTCGGCTTGACGATGTGTAGATACAATTTATGTTAACTCAAGGCATTACATAGCAATGCTAGGTTTTCAGTTGGTAACATCAGTCTGCCTAAGCCTCTAACGGAGTAGTGTAGAAACTACTTAAAAAAACAAAGACTTGCGTTTTTCAATGAGACGCTATTCTCTTAGACATTATTCTGTGCTGAGACCTGTCTGCTAGCCAAAGTGGTAGACAGTAATTTACGTCAATGTTTATGTCCCAAATATTGGTCATGTGAAAACAAGAAACAAAGACTGACTCAACAACCAATCACAGAAGACTTTGCGTAGGCGGATACAGTTAGCATATAAATGATCTGATATTCAAGAAACAGCCACAAAGACATGAAAGACTAACTTCCTGTGAGAAACAACCAATCAGAAGATTGTGTATGTCTGCTAACAATAATCTATGATAATGTACATGAAAATGTATAAATATGTGTTGATTCCCATAATAAACGATCTGTTGCCTGGTCCTTGTCTTCTGTTGTTACAATTCTATTAAGAAAATGTATCTCAATAACACAATAGTATTATTGTTAGTCTGAAGGAAAGACAACATAATTTTCACACTTTACGATATTAGAAAACCATTGTCAAGAAGCCCTACATCCAGGTGTCGTACATGTAGGAGTATTAATCGGCCAATCTGCCATCCTTTGTCACTTAGCGCTGAAGTCAGAGGCTTTATATCCGCTAAGCTTTTCAATCAACAACTGACCTCTTCCCGGAATATCTATTCCACGTTAAGTGTGTCGGTTGGCACCTATCAGAAGATTTACAATCTTGTCATTCAGCTAAGTGGAAACATAATTTCGCGCATTGCGTTCCTTGATTTCGAAGTGAAACGTAAAGCTTCAATAATTCTTGGTGTGTCAGTTTTCGCTAGCCTCATCATGCCTAACCTTTCTTTCCTTTCCAGAATAACTATCAGCTATTAGAGTAGGCGAGGTTGAGAAGTACATCACTCAGGAATCGAACCCGGACGGTGAGAATAACATATGACTGGAGAATATTCTGCCATTGAACCATAGATGTACTTATTGTAACTCGATATTAGCTGTCACTTGATAAGCACCAGTTGTGTATTCAGATTTCCTTTATGCTGTTTTACTTGTCAGCAAGGCATTCGTTTACTTCAAGAAACTGATATACAATCCATGCAACAACAACAACAACAACAACCACAAAAAGAAGAACAAATGAAAACAGAATTCAAAATGTCCAAGAATAACTTTCACTATATATGTATATGACACAAATTTAAAAATTTACAAAAAAAGGTGTATTTAGGAGGAGGAGGACGAGGAAGAGTCCATGAATGATGAGTTATGAAATCATTTCAAAGACACACACACATACGCGCTCACATAACATATGTATGAACACAGTCAACTGGCTCAACCCGCCCTCCGCCCCCAATTATTTTAAATGACTACACACATTCTTTTTCTGCATATATATATATATATATATATATATATATAAATGCAAAGAATTACAAGGCGACAAATTGAAGAAAAAAAGAAGCATTCAGGTGGAAAATGCCCTGTGCAAAGAGAGAACAGAGTATATGGGGAGTTATTCTCGTGAAAAATTAGAGGTACACGCGCATTATTACATAAATAATAAGCACATAAGTACATCCACCCACCCACCCACGCACACACACACATACATAAATATATAGATTATAAAAATGAGAATAAAGTGAAGTGAAGTAACACCACCACCACCACCACTACAACAACAACAACAACAGAAAAAACAATGGTAAACAAAAGCCACAATGGAAATAATGTCTTTTTTTTCTAATTGACATCTTATCTCATTTACCATTACTATTATATCATTACGTATACAAATATTTACTAAAGAAAGAGTAAAGGAAGCAAACATGGAGCAAAGTTACATTAGAGGCACACATACACACACAAACGAACAAACAAGCACGCATTGTGAAGAGACAAGAAAAACACTTACACACCCACACACGTGTACATCACCCCTTAACAACAATAACAATGTCATCATCAAGAAAAGAGGTGGCAAAATTAATGAAATTAAAAAACAAAACAATTAATATGATGAAAAGAAGAAAGCCCCAGTGAAAATGATGGAGACGGAGACGATAGGTAGTAAAGTTATCGAAAAAAACACTTCAAAATTAAATTGGTTGTATGTGTGGTAGAAGTCATGCGTAACACTGATGAATGAATGCATGAATGATGCACGCGTATGAAATGAAAATAGAGAGTAGAGAATTGTGCGTCTTTGTATATTTTGTATATGTATATATTATTATACACTACCATTAGTATGATGATTAGCTGTAGTCATCCACGTTAGCTGAATAGAATATATGCTGAAAGAATGTAGTGACGATGATGATGGAAGTATTGATAACCAATTGAGTACCAACTGACTATGTATATATATCATAGACTGTGCAAGAGAAAGTTGTTAATTCCAATGCAGTAATAAGAATAACAGAATAGTATCAGCAAACAGGAAAACAATCACAAGCGTACATAGAGTGATGATTAATGCCCACACACACACACTCACACACACGTAGAGTGAGTTAGTAGGTAAAACTACAAAATACACAAAGGCCAATATATAAAGTGATGAGAATACAATAAATTGGTAATTGCAAAGAGAGAAAATAAACGCAAAAAATAACGAAGAGTAACAACAATAACAATAACAACAACAAGAGCAATTTCTTAAATCACTGCCTCCCTCTGTCTCTCTATCTACCTCCGTCTGTCTATTATGTACTGCACAATCAGTATGTTGTGCACATACACGAATATCTTTTAACACTGATTAGTCAACAAACACTTTCAACACTATATAATAATGACAATTATAGCAATTAAGCTGTAAGAATCCGTTTAGATAATAATAGATGTATATATGTATACATATATAATACATACGATGGGAATGGAATGTGCAAACATTTCTGCGTCCATATTAACATTGTATAACATTGTATATATACTTTATTATCATTACTAGTGTATTACTGTCATTGTTATTATTTTTTTTCTTTATTTTGAAGAAGACGGAGAATGCAATAGAGAAATTAAGCTCGTGTATCCTTTTGATAGAGTTCTTCAATTTCACGTTGGAAACGAGTTTGTAGATTGAAACGTTTCAATTTCAATGCATCTGTGACTAAACCAGTATCTGGTGTCCAAGCTATTGTATCTAAGCCAACTTTTTGAGGTATTTCAAATGAACTTAAACGTTTCTCTCTGGCAACACGATGTAAATCTTTTAATACAGCAGATATGATCTATAGGTGAGAGGGGGCGGGCAGAAACAAAACAGAAGGCGAAAAATGCAATTTACTTGCTGTATACAAAATTAAAATTAAATCGATTGAAAAGAAACACTGAATTTTCAAGTGTTAGCTTATCAGTATCTTATTGGTAACAAGTTTGAACACGGATTGACATAGGTTAAAGGAACCAGATGAAAAAGAGCTCGTTGACCATATATGACCACCACTGGGATGGAATCCAACAATCGATGAATCTTAATTACTATCAGTTCGTGATTACCGACGCCATCGACAACCAATATTCCTAAGGGAGTATTTGTCCTCGCAACCGACCTTGTGGACCCCATTACTAGTCATAACTTCTCATCACTACAACTTCAGGCAACTTGATCTGGTAGGCAGTCACCAGTGAGCATAAAATTAATTGCCAACTGTTAGTTTGTGGACATTTCACTGGTTTCAAGTTAGACCACAGAAGCTCACTACTAGTGACTGATTAGGAAATAAAGTTCCCTGGAGTTCTAGCGAGAAATAGTGACTAGAGGGGGTGTTCCGCCAGGTCGGGTGTGGGGACAAATACAATATTCATCTGTGATAAACTCGAACAAAGCAAGGGAATATGGTACCAATTTATTTTGTATCTTATCAACTGCATAATATTAATATACATAAAATATTCCCATACTTTAAGTTATGGAGTATGACTACTAAATTGTCAAACTCAACTTAACAGAAAAACAGCAGGATGGATTTGTAACCGGATATTTGAGTACATATACTAAGAAGCTTACGATTGAAAGGTGAGAAACTCTACAGCAATCCAACTGCTTACCACCTGATAGGCAGACAGTGGTCATGAAAATGATCTTTTAAGGCAATTGAAAGTGATTAAGATTCAGGTTGATTCATTCAAGCTTACAATGTATTGCTAAAGCGGTAGACATTGAACAGTTTAGACCAAATCAATGTATTCAAAAGGAAATCCCTGCTATCCTTCCCTCACCGCAGTAAATACACTTTACACATTCATTTAATTATATTTAGTTTTGAGAACGTAATAACATGCCCACAACCTCATCTTTATTCAGATTCTTGATGTCACTACTTTTTTGACCTTTGATCGACTAAATTATTTAATCCTTAGGCAACATATGCAATCAGTTGTACAACTAATCTAGAATACTTAATTCAATTTTACACTTTCCCGTTGATTGATTGGACCGAAGTGCTTGGTCTCAAGCTGATATGTGACAAGCACCTTGTGAAGATGCCTCGACGACGTCTGGGGCATGTAACTAGAAGTTAACTGGTGGATGGTGACTAGCAGTGAAATCCAGGATGCGCACCAAGTACTTCGGTCGAATCAATCAACGGGGAAATCTAAAACTGAATTAAATAATTAATATGACCCGTTGCCCACGAGGTGGCTCTCGTGGCCCAAGGGGTCTAGTGGATAACGCTTTGGCGTTTGAAACCATGAGCCTCAATGGGGACATCATCACTCACTGGGAAATGCAAGTACAACCGGATGACAAGTCCCAAACAGGGTGAAATGCACATCCTGGACTCCGCTGCTAGTCACCATCCAACGTTCACCCTTTCCATTACACAAAAGTAACGCTTAAAACAACTAATGCATGTGGACATTTTGTAATATAGTGATCTTAAAACTTTTTCTGGTTTAAGGTAGGTACATGTGTAGATGGTTGGAAAGAGAAGCAGCGAAATCTGGCCTTGTCCAAGTTAAGTACAAACAATAATCCAATAAAATAAGTTAAACTACAACTAATAAACTGTATTGCATCAGCCACTATGGAATTTATTGATATCGGTAAGCTTCTGCAACAACTGATCCCTTCAATATGATTCAATTGTGTTATCCAGTCAGAATTCATAGATCACAATCCAGTGACTAACAGTCTGTCTGTCTGTCTGTCTGTTTTCGACATAGAACTTTGCACAAATGTGCGGAAGTTCAAGTCGCCACACTCCGTGTAGCACGCGAAGCAAGAGAAGAAAGTACAAGAAAAGCATAATAGAAACAGTGAGCAGAGGTGTGAGACAAAGGAGTAATAAAGAAATACAAAACAGTTTCATTGAAGATCATAAGTCACAAGAAGTGGATGCATCTGCGCCACTGAGAACGGTTTTGAGCCATGTCACCAATTGTTTCCAACCATAGATTTTTACCGTCCCGAGGACCCCAACAAGTCAGGAAGTCTACACCTTCCTACGTGGCTTAGATTAATTGTTGTAGATTTCATTGACTGGTGCCAAGTTTTTGTTTGACCTCCGCTAGCTTTTTTCCAGCCTGACCCTATATCCGCTAACATAGCTCGTTGAGGGAGGCGATGACTTGGCATACGTAACACATGTCCTAACCATCTCAGTCGATGTAGCTTCACGACTTCGTCGATTGATTTCCCCTGTTTACCTAGAACTCTACGCCTAACCTCCATGTTGCTCACCTTATTATGCCACTTCACACGGGAAATAGAGCGCAGGCACCTATGATCAAAGACAGCTAGTCTTTTCATGTCTTCCACTCTGAGTGGCATGGTCTCACAACCATAAAGGAGGACGGAGCGGACTGATGAGCAGTACACCCGCCCTTTGGTCGATAGTCGAACATCTCGTCTACGCCAGAGTCGGCGTAAACTGGCAAATGCGAAACGAGCCCCTGTATTCGTGCTGAGATTTTGTCAGAGGTCAAACTGTTGTCACTGGCTGATGGCACTTCCCAAATAAGTGAAGCGGTCAACGTGCTCTACCACTTCACTTCCTATTTTTAAACTAGGCGTCGATGTAGTCCAGTCCTGTAACATCATCTTGCATTTGGCGGGAGCGAATCGCATGCCAAACATTCGTAGATTGCGGCTCAAAGTGTTCAGAAGACTCTGCATTTCGTCAGCGTCTTCGCCTAGAAGGACTATATCGTCTGCATATTCCAAGTCAACGAGATTATTCCCTCCGTGGTAGCAAGTCAATCCCTGAGTCGCTGAAGTCACTTAGGGTTAAGTCCATTAACGCATCTATGATGAAGTTGAATAGAAAAGGAGATAATGTGCATCCTTGACGGACACCACTGGTCGTCATCAGTTCAGATGACAGCTCGCCGTAAGCCCTTACCTGGCTGTGTGAGTACGAGTAGAGTGCCTTAATCAGTGCAATATATTTTCTCGGGATTCCCTTTACAGTCAAGCATCTCCAGAGAACTTCTCGATCGACAGAGTCGAATGCCGCCTTTAAGTCAAGAAATATAATGACTGTTGGACGTCGGTAGGAATGCCTATGTTCTAGAATCTGTCGGAGGGTGAAGATATGACCAATACACCCTCTTCCTGGTCTAAAGTCTGCCTGGCTCTCTCGTGTTTGTGCCTCCCGAGCACCACTCAGTCTACGCATGATTATTGAGCCTAAGACTTTAGATACTATATGACTACTATATGACTAACAGTAGTCAATAAACACTCCTCCTTGTCACCTGAATTAAGATCCACAGTTTGATCCCTCCTGGTACGGTTATAAGTTGAACACACTGCTTAACAGTCCGAAATTAGGACGAAACAGTTGTGTCTCACAAAGTAAACATAGGTGACTTAGTCCACGTTTCAGTTATCAATAGGTACTAATATGACCCAGGAAAATATCATTACCTGGCAACTCTGGTAACTAATTAATAATGAAGAGATTGGTGTTCGGACTGTCATACAATTGTCAAATGGTGGTAAATATGATTGATGACACTATAATTATAAAAATCAATATGATTACTGGCTTCATTTTTTCAATAAATACGACCACATTAATCTTCTTATCCTTAAATATATAAATATAAAGATTTTTGGCAGTATCTCATCTAAGCAAACATTAGGCTTACACAATGATGATAATGTGGGTGTATTTTCTCTTACCCTAAAACCAGACATATCAATCTGGTTAACCAATCAAATAAATCGAAGTAAGACAAACAAAAAACACAACCTTGAAAAGGACGTTTAATATCACACCACCATATGGTATGATTCTGAAATTTGTGCTTAGACAACAAAGGAAGAAAAGAGATGATTTATATTGGTAACCCGCATTTAAAAAATAATAGTCACTCAGTTATAAGGTCAACTGTGATCATAAGAGTTCATCACACAGGAGATACACAATTACAACCTAAATTAAAGTGGGTTAGGGGGTGGGGGAAGAGAGCTTAGTAAAAAGAGACAAAAAGAAGTTACAACTCATGGGCTATTGGATAGGGGGTCGCAGTGACTTAATGGTATACGAGCTCGCCTTGTAACCAGAAGGTCCTGGGTTCAAACCCTGGCGATGGGTGCGTACTGCTGAAGAGTCCCAAACTAGGACGAAACAACTGTCCAGTACTCCCGAAACCAATCAAATCCCTACAAACCAATACTTGAATAAAAAAGAAAAACTAACCTGAGGATGTTTACAAAGTGCAATACGTTCAACATGTTCAATGGCAACTGGATCTTTTAATGATTGTTCTGGTAGTGTTGCACGTGCTTCATCAAGTAAATGAAGTAGATTCAATGATTCGGCTAGTTCAAGAAGTGGTTTCAATTTTGGTGATACAAAGCATATAGGATAATTTTGTGATGGATCAACATATACACAGATTTGTTCTACATAAATTGATTGACTAAGCGCCAGTTCAACTTTACTTAATGAAACATATTCACCAGCTTGTAATTTGACTAAATCTTTTTTACGATCAATAATTGATAGACTTCCATCTGTATGCATTAATCCAATATCGCCTAGCATATAGACAAACAAAACGAAAGCACAATCAATACAAAGATGTGTAAAGGCTTTATTAAGCAAAACAAAACTATAATATTTTGCAACTTTTGTAAACATGCATGAAAAGGTAAATTATTTGTTATGACATATTCATTGTAAGAGTATCAATTTCCCTAGAAAATACTTTAAATTGTAATAACATGAAAAGTAATAAGCTTTATAGACAAATCATTATAAGCGCGTTTATGTGCCTCTAGGTATGTAACGCTGTCTTTGATCATAGGTGCCTGCGTTCTATCTCCCGTGTGAAGTGGTATAATAAGGTGAGCAATATTGAGGTAAGGCCTCGGTCGAGTGCTAGGTACGGAGGGAAAATCAATCGACGAGGCTGTGAAATTACATGAACTGAGAGATGGTTAGGACATGTGTTACGTATGCCTAGTCATCGCCTTACTCGACGGACAATGTTAGCTGACTGACATGAGATGGATATCACGTTGGAAAAGAGCCAGTGGTAGTCTAACCAAAACCAACATGGCTTCATCAGTCAATGAAATCCACAACAGTTAGTTTAAGCCACGTAGGAAGGTGTAGACTTCCTGACTGGTTGGCGTCCCTGGGACGGTAAAAACCAATGGTTGGAAACAATTGGTGATACGGCCCAAAATCGTTCTCAATGACTGGCACAGATGAATCCACTCCCTGTGACTTATGATTTGCAATGAAACTATATTGTTCTTCGTTATTACTATTCCTTGTCTCACATCTCTGTTTGCTTTATTTATTATGCATTCCTTTTTACTTTCTACTATTGCTTTGTGTGCTACAAGGAGGGAGTGTGGTGAATTGAACAGCCGCACATCAGTGCAAAGTTCTGTGTCGAAAACAAACAGACGGAACGCATTCATCGGAGCTGTTATCGAAATAGGTTATCACTCGCTTAGACGGAAAGTATTTTTCTCTCCAAATTGTCAGTTTGACACATGTGGTTTTATCAGTTCGCTTAGAGTAGCTAGTCAGAAATCGAGTAGTTTGAAAAGATTCGGCTCTCTGAACTGAGTCAAACCTGTCTACATGGCTGATGAACACGATCGCCAAAACAAGCGAAACAGATTACGTAAATTTGATGATGATGATGATGAAATCCTCCATGCAATCAGACACAAAAATCCCTACAAAACCAAGACTAGAAAAATGAATCTAATGCTCACTAGCGACTGGTCCTGTTCAGGCAGTTAACTTGGGGTTCTAGTGGGAAGTCGTGACCAATAGGGTACAGCAGGTTGAAGATGAGGCAGTAACTCATCGAAGAAGACATTGCGAAATGGTCGCGGTATGTCGTGAATTGGCAGAAGTCAGAATTCAAAGACCACTGGATCGGGTCCCAATGGCTCAATTGTCTGCGAGCTTGCCTTGTAACCAGAAGGTCCTGGGTTTGAACTTAGGCGGTGGGTGCGTATTGATGAAGTGTCCCAAACTAAGCTGACGAAACAGCTGTCCAGTAGTCCCAGGTGGTTTCCCAGTGGTTCTTTAACTGATGTCAGCTCATGATGAAATCCTCCACGCAATCAAACAAAATCCTTACAAAATCAATACTTGGAATAAATTAGGCTTAGGTTACTTGAGGAAAAAATATAAATTTTTCTCTATCATTTAACCAACTGAATAGTCTACTTTATTCAAACTCTAATCAGTCACATCAAATCAATCTGAAAATCTGATAATAACAGTCATCATTATTTTTTTTTAATTCCAAAAATTAGTACTTTTTTAGTATACTAAAGGGAAAGGCAATTTTTGCACGTTATTGTTAATGATTAAGCTTCAACGTAGAACTTTGTACAGAGGTGCATCAGTTCACCTAGTTACTACACTCCAGTAGAGCACACTGGCGTGTCGCGAAAAGCATCTCCAACAGGTTGTAGACTTGTATCAACATCTGCCTTCGCTGACCTCATATTGAAGATCAAATGGCCAAAAAGAATTATGAACAAGAAACTCTGAAAACGAACCATTCATGAACCTATTGCTCAACAAATGTGCCGAAGTAAAAAGAGGTGAATTAGACACACTCTGAGGAGACATCAAGCGTCCGGCCCTCGAGTGGGGTGTCCCGAAAGTGACATGGTGGTCGCGCGAGAGGAGACGAGATTATAGGCGATCGTGGGACCAACTAAGAAGGACCGCAGAAAATAGGAAGTCCTATTTTCCCACTCGGAACCCAAGGAGACAATAATAATAAATATAACATACATGTCGACAAAAAATCACAAATATAATGACCGGAAACGTACGAGAGGAAGAATAATTACAGGGAGAGATTACAAAGAATGCATCTGTGCCATTAAAAACGATTTTCAGCTATCCTATGAAGTCTTCAGATATTAGTTCTTAGTATCTCGATAACCCCAGTCTAACAATGTACACCTACCAGAGTAACTCAAATCAACAGTCGAATACTTGACGAATTTATGTGAGGTTTTGACATAATCGTATGTCGGCTAACATTCCTCGATGAGGAACGCGATGAGTTGGCATGCGTAAAACGAACCGCAGGCACCTCGATCAATGCAGCTTTACTACCTTACCGATTGATTTGACCCCTTATCCAACACAGCCTACGCATAACCGTAATATTACACCAGTTAATAGGGGAATACAAATGCGAATTTATGTGCTCATTCCAGATTATCTTACTGATATATATATATATATATATATATATATATATATTCACAAGACGTGCATCTTCAAGATAATCATCTCTAACTTGACAAAAACCAACCATAATCTCCTTCACTTTTACGCAAATACATGAAAGTTTTTTTCTTTTGAGCATTTTTTTTTGTCTTTACATATCCTCCCATGAATACATTTCAGACTAAATCTCCAAAAAGCTGAAAACACCAAGGCAATTCACTTAACGAAATGTAGTTTATTATTTTGTGAGGAGTTACACGTCTCAAGGCGTAATGAATCACAGTTGCAGTCTGTGTGCAATTGTAGTTGAAAGTATAACAGTTCACACTTTAATTTTGATCAAGAATCAACTTCAGTTAGAGAGAGAGAGAGGCGCCATTGAAGCCAGGGAGTTTTAGGACGGGGGTGTTTCACCCTTGTTTTTGGGTCTCTTCAGCAGTAAACAAATCCATACACTCGCGAAGAACCTTCAGGTTTTACATGGAGAACTCGTATACCATTCAACCACTGGGGGGGGAAGAAGCTAACAACACAACATTCTCTTCATGCACGTAAAACGGGAAGAAAGGAGCATCGACATGCAGGGGGAGGATTGAGGTGGTACACTTTTTTTGATTTCTTTGAATTCTGTCTGGAACACAGGGTCTCAAATTTTTGAAGTTGAAATGGCAATAGCTTCAATTCAATTTACACCCAATACTTCCTTTCTCTTCCTGGCTTACTTTTCGGTTAGGTGTGGTTTAGGAAGAGTGCATCACCTGTGAATTGAACCACTCATATATGATATGCAGTAATAATTTATATCCAAAGGTATAAAAGACAGTAAGTATTAAATAATTGCAAGCCAGGGGGATACGAAGTAAAAAGGCTTATTTTGACCAAGCCTGGTTGTCAAAGGTCGGGCATACAATGCTTCGGTGTGGGCTGTCTTGCTTTACGCCTGTGAAACCTGGCCTCTCCGAGCTGAGGATGTGCGGCGACTCTGTGTGTTCGGTCAATGCTGTCTCCGCAAGATTGCTTGCTTTCGATGGTATCATCGCGTGAGTAATTCTGAGGTTCAGCAGCGTGTGTTTGAACACAGTGGAGAACACCATTCATTGAATGTCGTCATCTGGAAACACCGGCTACGGTGGCTTGGACATGTGCTCCGAATGTCACCCCAGAGGCTTCCGTACAGGTCTCTGTTCGCTAGCCAGCCCTGGGACGGAATGGAAAAGGCGGAGGGGTGGTCAGTTCATGACGTGGCGTCGTGGGATGAAGGATATTTGTGCTAGATTAGCTTTGGTTGGTGCGTCACGACTCCCTGGTTGGGGTCCGCGAGATACCTCGAGTCGATGACTCGAAACGTTATCGGATATGACCAAGGATCGTAATCAATGGCGAACGTGTTGCAATTTCCTTCATTCTTCCCTTCCCGATGATAGTTAACGAATACTGTTTGAACTCGTTAAGCATAACTGTTTTACTTTCAGATGAAGTTCTTTATCCGTTCTCTACTTATATTTTTTTTTACTTTTGATCTATTTTGTTTTATTATTATTGTGTGGCGCATCTTTCTTGGTGCTATATTGTACCAAGTTTTTTATGAGTTTAAATAAATAATAAAATAACCACTTCTTTTGCTTATAGTTTTCAACATATTGACGAATGTTATAAGGAGACACAGAGAAGACACGTTAGAAATTTAGTGTAAATTCGGTGTAACTATCACAGTTTTATATCAAGTGATTAGGGCGCATAAACCTATCTCTATCCACCAGTGTTATACAATTTAAAGTAGTCATCATTGCAACACTCGAATAACAAAACGAATAGGATAATTAAAAAGCGGTATATCAGCGAAAAAACACAAGGTGTAAACGATCTGAGGGGAATGAATTCGTTGTAAGTCGTCTACATAGCAAACAGCTGAAAAATGCTAAGCATGCATGTAACACACATGGTCCGTAAAATATTGATGCAATAAGGTAGCATTCCACCATATCAATAAGAAACTGAGATCTCACAAACATGATATTTATGTCGACGACATGACATATCTATTACATATATGTGAACACACACACACACACGTGTCAAGAGGGTTAGACACACATTGTCTACCAAACGAAAGGTCTTAAATATTATCGATTAAGTCAATGAAATAGACCTAGATTATGAACATAGTCTGCAAGACCTACCCTTACCTACCAACAGACATACACGCATACAAACACAGATACAGAACATACACACATACATACACATAGTTTAATTGACCAAAACCACGAGTGAATATAGACAAAAATTAAGTAAACTTTACGATAGAAACAGTTTTCAGTTGATAGATCTTTTTGATTGATTCTTCGAAAAAGATGACTCATTTTGTATGTATGCATGTACGCGCGCGCATGTGTTTGTGTGTGTACATATATCGATCTACCATTGAAGGTGAACGCTTAGTTTATACATTTTAACAGGCGATAAACTTAATAATGATTGTGATAAGAATATATAAAACTCGCAACAGAAAACGAGAATATGTATTCATGATGAAGTCATAAATACAATGACAGAAAAATGCTTATTTCAACTTCAACACATTAAAACCACAGTTTAGTGATAAATGTTGTGCACTGGTGACTAACAATGAAATCCAGGATATGAATTTCGTCTTATTTCGGACTCCTCATCTGGATCGGCGAGTAGTGCAGTCCTTCCTCCTTTTTACTGATCCGTTCAGGCGGACAGCACACATTCGGCTATCCTACCGGGATCCAGTCAAGCAGTGTCTTTTCTGCCCTAGTACTCAAAGCTATCCCTACGCCAGCTAATCCTCGTGAACTAGCTGTGGCATCTCCTGACACCTTCAAGGTGAATTTTGCAGATTCAACCTGTTGACCAGGTAAGGTTAGGTGAATAACCACACTTGGGTCTTGTAGGCGTGTTTCTGAAACACAGCATACATCAATGGCTCGTGATGCCAGGGTCTTGGCTAGTGATGCTTGTTGTCCTATTTGGCAAAGTGTCCTAACATTAAGAGCTCCTATATGAAATTGGTGGCGCGGCTTAAAGAGGCTATCGGTGGTGGTTTTTTGGCTTCCATCGTTTTTAGTGGACGCAGAGTGGAGAGGAAGTGGAGAGCTATCAAGTCGAAGAGTTGCATCAGTGGAAGGAAGGCAAGATGATAGAGATGAAGATGAAAAAAAGATGAGTGAGTAATAGAGAGGTTTCGCGTGCGTTTCGGATTGTGAGGGCGATTGTTAGGACATGTGTTACGTATGCCAAGCCATCGCCTCCCTCGACGAGCTATGTTAGCGGATATAGGGTCAGGCTGGAAAAAAGCTAGCGGCGGTCAAACAGAAACATGGCTTCATCAGTCAATGAAATCCACAACAGTTGGTCTAAGCCACGTAGGAAGGTGTAGACTTCCAGGCTGGGGTCCTCGGGACGGTAAAAATCTATGGTTGGAAACAATTGGTGACATGGCTCAAAACCGTTCTCAGTGGCGCAGATGCATCCACTCCTTGTGACTTATGATCTTCAATGAAACTGTTTTGTTCTTCGTTATTACTCCTCCTTTGTCTCACACCTCTGCTCACTGTTTCTATTATGCTTTTCTTGTACTTTCTTCTCTTGCTTCGCGTGCTACACGGAGTGTGGCGACTTGAACTTCCGCACATTTGTGCAAAGTTCTATGTCGAAAACAGACAGACAGACAGATCTCATCTGGATGTACCTGAAACCCTAGATAAGTGACGCTTTCCCCACTAAGATTCCTATTCAGCGCTTATCGTTTTAAACACCAAAGCGTCATTCACTAGACCACTGGGGTCAACAAGACAGTCACTCCTCTTGTGCAACGGTCATCAGTTGATTTTTATTATTTTTTTTTGTTTAATTAGACCGAAATGCTCGACTACTGTTGACATATCGGGTCCAAATACGGACACACACCTACGATGCCTTAGGACTAGCATGATATTATTTGATGGATGGTTGTCACCATCGTGTTGTCTATAGAAAAAACAAACTTATTTATAAGTTTACTGAAGCGATAAGCTACTCTGAATTCTGTCGAAAGCTAGTTTGTACAAAGCAGGCTACAGTGCTTGTAAAGCTGGTTCAATACAATGCTTCACTTAAAGTCATTCGAAACTACTCCATCAAAACGATTGAATACGATAGAAATAGTCATTAAGCACTTGGCATAAACGTATTGATTAACGGACTAACATTAGTGCGAAGATAGATTTCTCAAGTTAAAATCACCAGGAAGGTAAAAAGAAGAATACTACAGACAGTCTTTATCTCTTTCATCAAAAAGGGAAGGAACTTTAAGAGATTGATGTAGGCGCAATTCAGAAGCCTATAATGCTTGACGATCCAAAGAAGTGGAATATTCATAGCTGTTAATTTTTAAGTTAGCAATGTTCTCACAGTTAGTGTTTTTCTGGAGCAGAATTTATAAGGAACAACAAAAGCTAGATGAATACCTACAGATCCTCAAAAGATATGTAAACAATAGACTCAGGGGTTCAACTCTAGTACAAGCACTGCGCCTTAGACAACAGACTAGAACCATTAGTATTTATAAACTAACCTGGTCTATAGTTTAGTAAACAAAACCAGTTATGATAAAGCGAAAATGAACCAGGGGACTATATAATGTAGAAGCAAAGACATCTACTGATGACAATGCAAGTCAGTCACATTGTATCCTTAACAAACTAAACTTATATAGAAATATCAACTATGGTATTTTAAACACTGACTAGAGTGCATCATCCCGCCTATGAAGTGCGAAGCATATGAATTCAATAATTGAACATACAAGCCTTGTAAGTTTTCAACCAATCTCAATTCAAAATTTAAAAAAAAAAACAACTCAAAATTAGTGTCCCTTTGAGGAATATAACTTTGATACACAAAAGTTATTAGACGGCTGGAGGCAATCGGCCACAGGAAGTTTTGGACCTAGGTTTCGTGCTAGTTGGCATTCACCAGTCAGCAAGGCGTATATCTGCAACCTCGAAGAAACTTATGTCCCTTCTGAGATTCGAACCCGCGTCAGCCAGAGATGTAACTACTGAGCAATTCAGACTCGCGACTGCCCTCCTGTAGGACTACTGTATTGGATATATTTGATTGGACACTAGTCAGTAAGTAGTGCAATGTGACCATATTGTAAGCTTGACTGACAGAATTCAGTCTGCACCGAAGATACGACTAGACACATATACATTACACTAGTAAATGATTAGGTGTCCAATCAAAAATACACAAAAGTTATGTTAATTATATTAGGTATTCTTCTGAAGTTCATTTTCTTGGGCGAATATCAGCTTATTCAGAGGAAAGAATAAGAGAAAATGAAATGTGATTCAATAATCACTTGCAATACCCCATGCAGTTGACAATGAGACACACGTGTTAAATCAGGGCAGGGGGCTAGTGCTAGCGAGATATATATACTACCTGGTTGCCGCTTGAACCTCAGTAGGTGGAGCGGGATGCGAACCCCTAACCCTCTGGTCATAATGTTATAAAACCTAGACCAATAAACCACAGGTGTTCTAGTCAAGCAACGAACTACGCAGCCATAGTCGAAGTTGTTATCGTTATTATTATGATTATATTTAATACCACCGGTTAAATACCGCCAGACTATTTACTCAATATACAAAACGAAAATTGGAATCTAAAATGAATCCAGAATTGTTAGTTATACAAATAATATAATAGCACATTGTGATTATTTTTTTTCTCGCATAACATATGATCAGTTTCAAATTACATGTAAACATCTTGTGGTACCTCTATGATCGATATACACAAAAAATTCCATTCACAAAACTAGTGCTACATACTGTATCGTTTCTGCACTGCTCAGCTCATTATATCGATGTCAAAAATTTATATTGATGAAGAAACAATAAATAATATAGTGGAAACGTAACCTGGATAAAATAACAAAAAGTTACCTGTACAGAACCATCGAGTGCCGTCTGGTTCAGTGATGAAATCTCTCGCCGTCAATTCAGGTTGTCGATAATAGCCTCGTGAAACAGGTTTACCCGAAATAAGAATTTCTCCACGTGGTGACGGGGTATCGTACGGAGAATAACCACCTTCAGGCCAAGCTCTCAGACGAATTTGTACAGTCGACGGAGGTGCGCCAGTATGATTACATCGTAGGTCACCACATTCCATTAAAGCACCAGCAGAACAAGTTTCAGTGAGTCCATAACTGTAAATTAATTTTTTTAAATACGATAAATTTATCAGAAATCAAATACATATTAAGTATATTCTAATTTTTTTAAATAACAGAAAATATGAGCAAAGAAATTCGATAATTCGACGCGGAACTTTGTTCAAAAGTGAGTCCCAGTTACCACACTTCCAAAGATAGATACTGCAATGGACAAACATACACTGAAAGAAGAATGAATCGGTGGATATTATCTTGAATTTCAAAGACGATAAAGATTGCATACACATCTGGGCATAATTTCAACTGCAGGCAGACGGAACTGACAAGGATATCAAAGCCAGAATCGGAAAAGCAAGACAAGCTTTCATTACTCTCAAGTCTGTGTGGAAGTCAACAGCACTCACCATCAAAAATAAGATCCGGATTTTCAACTCCAATGTGAAGTCAGTGCTACTCACCATACGGATCAGAGACTTGGCGAGTCATAAAGAGCATCTCAAACAAACTACAAACCTTTATTAACAGTTGTCTTCGCTCAATACCACTCAAGACCAGATGGCCAGAAAAGATCAGCAACAGGGATCTCTGGGAGCGAACCAACCAGGAACCGATTGTGAAACAAATAGGCAAGAAGAAATGGAGATGGATTGGCCATACTCTGAGGAAACAGGCCATCAAGTGACATCACACGACAGGCCATTACTCGGGTGAAACCCGAAAGGGAAGCGGCGAGTTGGTCGTCCAAGAGTGACTTGGAGGAGGTCATGTGAAGAGGAGATGAAAGCGTGTGGGCAGACTTGGAGCGGGGTGAAAAAATTGGCAGAAACCCGAAGGCAATGGAGACGAGCGGCTGAAGCCCTATGTTCCTCTAGGAATTAAAGGATATAATAATAAACATCTGGGCTATTTTAACAAAATGAACATACTAAAAAGGAAGTGACAGGATGTATGTATGTACCCACATAACCCTAAATTCCGTTCAACATAAAACTTTCTGTGACGGTTGTTTTGCAGTAGGAAACTTGAAACGAAAACTTATCGCCACCCATCACCCACCCCCGCGTGCAGAGATCAATATTAGCTAGGATTTAGTTAAATGATCTATAATTGCATGAACCACATAAAACTCGATAAAGGGTGTGATTTCTACACCTGAGCAGCAACAAACGCACACACACAAATTACAGTTAGAAGTAAACCACACACAAAAACTTACCCTTGAACGATCGGTGCTATGCATATATTTGTGAATAACTGTGAATCTTCTGACAATGGTGCTCCACCACAAACAATATAACGAATTCGACCACCCATAAGTGATCTAACCTTACGGAAAACTAATCGATCCACAAGAAAACTGGGAAATCCACCATGGATTCGTCGACACTTGTAAGCATAAGCAAATTTAAAGAGCTATACAAAGGGAAAAACAACAGTATATGCAGTGAATGAAGTGAAGATAAAATACCGTCATTAGGAATAGAATAACAGAAAACATTATTTGCATGGTAATGATAATTTAATTAACTCTGAGGTGTATTATTTCATAGTAAACTTTTGTCACTTTGAAACTCAACTGAATTTTCAAAGTATAGCTTAACAAGAAGGCAGACAAGTTCAAGTTGTCACACCACACCACATAAAGTATACAAATAGGTCAGGAAAAAAGGAAATGTAAAGAAATGATAATAAACGTTAATTATTACATGAACTGAATGTATATGAATCATTTTGAGCTAGGTAACCAACAGTCTTAAGCTATCGATTCTCTTAGCATCTCGAAGATCCTAGCCAAACACAGTCTACAACTACCTATGTGACTCAAATTAACCGTCCAAGACCTCATTGATTGATATCATATTCTGTTATGACCACCTGTAACTATTTTTTTCAAGTTAATCCTCCTGTGTTAACTGTATCCGCCTACACAAAGCCTTTGTTCTACTTTTCCTCACGACCAATACTGGAGACATATACACTGACGTAAATTACTGTCCACCAATTTCGACTAACAGCCAGATCTCACCACAATAGTACACTTCTGTTTCAGTTACTCCAACTTCAACTTCCATGGCGTAGTGAGCCGGAAATTAGTAGCCGTCCACACTTACCCACTCCCAAGATCGATGAAGATAGTACTTTAATGATAATGAGTTAACTTAGGCATTAAATTCTGATAAAATGAATTACCAGTAGAAGCGTAATCGTATTTAAATGCCGTATCTTTCGTTAAATAGATACCACAATAACAAACAAAACAAATACAAGTAAACATCTCAAATAAATCCTAAAAAGGAGAGAATTGTTTACGGAATTTGAGATATCTTCAAATAACAGTAACATTTACGATTATTAGCAGTGATCATTATCAAGTGGTTTTCCTAATTCCTCACAATTGTTGAAGACGTTGGAGAGATGTTACCTATCAGTCACTTGGATTTATATACAGCTGGCAATGGACCACACCTATTCTGTGGGAGCTACTAGAGCTACCACCAGGTCACTTAAAACGTGGTAAGTGGGGTGGGGCTCAAACTTGTGGCTTATCGGTAGAAAGTTAAGCATACATACTGTGATGTATCACAGCCCTAAAATGTCTATATCATAAAGAAAATTTATACTGCCTAATCTACCAAATCGAAAATTAGTCACTTTCACAAAAATACAATTCTAACTTATTTCATCCTGCTTGTATAATATAGCGTAAATTATGTGAGAAATATAGTAACATAGAAATGAGACTAGTCAATACACGATTTGAAGCATACAGTTTAAACTGTATGTATTTAAGCCTAAATTGACTAATCCTCATTTTAGTAGACGTTTTCGAGTATTCCGAGAGAACATATTCCAGGTGTAATACAGGACTTTATGCCTGGGCTTTAAAGTCTCAGTAGCGATGATTTTTCTTTTTTACGAGATTGGGTTGCTGGATTACTATCGGCTAAAAGGCAGACATCGAACTCCAGACTATGTGCGTGGTTGACGCGAAAATTATGTCGCTGAACCATAGACGCATTGCGAGGGAATATATTTTTATATTCTATTTTTGATTACACCTTGATTCCATACCGTATTTTTGGTACAAGTATGGAATTTTCGGCATGCGATATCGGTAGCCCAAATTTGCAGGCCAACCATTGATATCAGGTGTGCGTCGGCCGGGGATCGACGCCAGACCACCAGCGTAGTTGGCAATCATTCTACCACTGTGCCACCGACGCAAAGGTAAGGAGGAGAAATCAATCGACGCGGTTGTGAAGTTAGACCGATTGAGGTTGTTAGGACATGTGCTATGCTTGCATGTGTCTAGCCATCGCTTTGCTCGGCGAACAATCTTAGCTGATATAGAATCAGGTTGGAAAAGAGCTAGTGGTGGTCAAACAAAAAAAACATAGCATCAGTCAATGAAATCCACATCGGTTACTTAAAGCCACATAGGGAGATGTAGACTGCAAGCCTGTTTGAGGTTCTAGCGATGGTAAAACCAATGGTTGGAGACAATCGGTGATATAGCTCAATGGAGCATATCCAATAAAATTCTATTATTATTCTTCCATATTCCTTCTCATATTCCTGTTTATTATCTGTCTTCTCTTACTTTATGTGCTCTACATGGGGTGTAACGACTTGAACTGCTGCACATCTGTGCAAAGTTTCACGCTGAAACCACTCAGTCAATTAGTCTTCATCCTAACAATTCCAACTGATTGCATAAAGGATCTCATCATGAGCAGACATTGGCTACAGAACCATTGGAAAACCAGCAGGGAGTAATGGACAACTGTTTCGTCAGCCTAGTTTGAGACTCTTCACCAGTACGCACCCACCGGGGTTCGAACTCAAAAGCTTCTGGTTACAAGACGAGCTCTTAGACTATTGAGCCACTGGGACCCCACCCAATGGTCCTTGAATTTTAAATTCTGCCAATTCACGACATAACGCGACCATTTCGCAATGTCTTCTTCGATGAGTTACTGCCTCATCTTCGACCTGCTGTACCCTATTGGTCACGACTTCCCACTAGAACCCCAGTTTAACTACCTGAATAGGGCCAGTCGCTAGTGAGCAGTAGATTAATTTTCAAGTATTGGTTTTGTAGGGATTTTTGTGTTTGATTGCATGGAGGATTTCATCATGAGCTGACATCAACTGAGCATATTTGAAAAAGGCTTAAAAGTCAAATAGATTAAATAAAGAAAATTTGAGATATGCTCTATAAGTTCGTATATACAATGGAACGATGTGATCAAATTACAAATATAAACCATGCCAGCACACAAATACAAATATATTGATGCTGCAAAATCACATTACTACTTCTTAACTGTCTGTGCCTTCCTGTCATGGTACATTTACACACACAAACACCCATGATCTCACCATTGATGATATTCACGCGTGTTTTTTTTTGTCAGTCAATTACGAGATACACACAAAGATGGTAACAACAACAGAACAGAATATATAGCAGAAGTCACTAAGAGCCAAGTAAGGTTATGTGAACACATGAATTTCAGTTAGGTAATAATTTTTAAAAAAAAATTATCGCATGACAGCCAACACTACTCGATAAGGTATCTATGCAAAATGAGTGATTTTTACCAATTTAGGGTTCAATCACAAATAATGTGTGTGTAAACAAGATTGAGTGTAGATAAACAATACACACACACACATACACATCTGTGTGGATGTGTGCATGTTTCTGTTTATCATGTGTCATCCGTTTTCATTTATTACTGTCAACAGTAAACAACACAGTGTCTTGAATCAGTAAACAACCAAAACTTATAATTAATAATGATATGTCATTTTTGTGTTGATAAACAGTCGATATGGTTTCACACACACACACACTTAAAATATCTCTAACTTCTAGTCATTATCATCGATATGCTGTTTATGAAAATTCATGCTGCACTAATGGTTTCATCATCATTATCATCATCGTCAAGTGAAACATAGTGAATGACAAAATACCACGAAAAAAAGCAGCCAGAGTTTAAGCTTACAGAATTACAACTGTGAGTTGAGTCATCTTTCACCTTAAATTCGATGCAAACAGAAGGGTAGAAGGGTATATGACCTACACGCATCTTTGTAAAGCAAAATCATTTCTAAAATAATTACTAAAATTAGAATTACTGTAATAGGTCAGAATGAAGAGTCAGCCATCATCACATGATTTACCTGGTGGTAACTGGCATACATCAAGATAGAAATATATCGAGTGATAAGAACAAGCGTGTATGAAAGAATATATGAGTAAAGAAATTAACAAACTAGTATATGACGCGTCGAGTGCTAGGTAAGCAGGGAAAATCAATCGACGAGGCTGTGAAATTACATGAACTGAGAGATGGTTAGGACATGTGTTACGTATGCCTAGTCATCGCCTTACTCGACGGACAATGTTAGCTGACATAGGTTCAGGTTGAAAAGGAATTAGTGTTTGTCGAACCAAAACATAGCCTCATTAGTCAATGAAATCCACAACAGTTAGTTTAAGCCACGTAGGAAGGTGTAAACTTCCTGACTGGTTGGGGTCCCTGGGACGGTAAAAACCAATGGTTGGAAACAATTGGTGATATGGCCCAAAATCGTTCTCAATGACTGGCACAGATGCATCCACTCCCTGTGACTTATGATTTGCAATGAAACTATATTGTTCTTCGTTATTACTATTCCTTTGTCGCACACCTCTGTTTACTGTCTCTATTACGCATTTCTTCTACTTTCTTCTCTTACTTTTGTGTGCTACATGGAGTGTGGCGACTTGAACTCCCGCACATCAGTGCAAAGTTCTATGTCGAAAACAGACAGAAAGACGTAATAATCAATAGGCTGGAGAACCAAAAATAAAGTCAAGATATAAGTAATTTATACTTTATGTGGTGTTCATTGTGATTATCTGCAGAAACTCGAAAATAAAGGTGAAAGACTACAGATAATCATTATGATGGCTTTTCCTCCGTTCAGATAATAACAGATATTCAAGTATTGCTTTGTAGGTAGGTAGGTAGGTTGTTACCTGGGGTTCTAGTGGGAAGTCATGACCAGTAGGGTGCGCAGCAGGTCGGATGTGAGGACAAATACTCGCCAAAGACATTGGCTAATGGTTTCGCTGTCGTGAATTGGTCGGGATTAGAATTCATGAGCCATTGGATCGGGTCCCAGTGGCCTAATGGTTTACGAGCTCGCTAGCCTTGTAACTAGAAGGTCCTAGGTTCGAACCCCGGTGGGTACGTTCTGATGAAGAGTCCCAAACTAGGCTGACGAAACAGCTGTCCAGTAGTCCCAGGTAGTTTTCCAATGGTTCTCCTTGATATACACACGAGTAGTCCCTTTCTCACACACATATACGCCATATTATACATACATATGAACGTGTGTAATATAAATAGAAACAA